CGCACACACACACACACAAGCGTTCATCCCCCCAATGCGCGTGCACACACACACACACACACACACACACATTCACACACACACACACTCACACACACAAACACGAGCGATCACCCCCAAACACACATATACACACACACACACACACACACGACTTCACCCCCAAACGCACACACACACACACACACAAACACACCCACACACACACACACTCACACATGCACCCTCCCACCTTTTGGTGCGTCTCGATCTGACCCAGCTGCCTGTCCAGCCCCTCTTGTTTCGCATGCACCGCCCTCAGCTCCCCCTCCACCCCCATCAGCACCTGCCAAGGGGGGTTTTCAGGCGCGCCCGGAATGAGACCCTCTTGGTTTTGGATTGCTGTACGTTGGTGTGTGTTGGTTTTGGGTGGTGTTGGCGCGCGTGAGCCAACACGCTGAGATTTTCTTCAGGGCAGCGTCGCTTTCATCCCGGGTCAAAACCAGGGGCCCTGCCCGGCCGGGCGGCGCGCGGCTCTTGGCTATTGAGGGGTGCTGGATGCTAGCTGGCGCAGCTGTGCCAAGGTGCCGTGCTGTGCACGCTGCCGGAAACAAGAGACGCGAGGCCTCAGATACTAGGCCGGAGCTGGCGAATTTCGGGGAAGAGGGGGGGGTGGTATGGGGAGTCACGCCTTGCCTTGGACTGTGTGAGCGTGCGCCCGGGCGCCGCCGGTCCCCTCACCTGCCGGTTTGACAGCACCGCGCCGTCCCACCGCTGCAGCAGCGCCGCCTGGCTGACAAACGCCTGCGCATGCGACTCGAGCTGGTCCCGCCACCCCTTGATGATGTCATCGACCGTCATCCCCTTGAGCTTGCTCGGCTGCTGCGGCTGCGGCGGCGCCGCGGCGCCGGCCGCGGGGGCGGCGGCGGGGGCGGAGGCGGCAGGGGCCGAGAACGGCGCGAGTGCGCCGGACGTGGCGGGCGCAGACGAGGCGGCTGGCGCAGACGCCGGGGCGGACGCCGCGGCTCCGAACAGAGGCGTGGAGGCGGGCGGCGCGGCCGACGCCGCCGGCGCGGACGCGGCGGCTGGCATGGCGCCGCCAAAGCTGAAGCCGCCGCTCGCGGCCGGCGCGGCCGCCGGCGCGGAGGACGCCGGCGCGGCGCCAAAGCTCAGCGGCGCGGCTGCCGGCGCGCTGCTGCTGGCAGGGGGCGCTGCTGAGGCCGGCGGACTGAGGCCGAACGCGGGCGCTGAGGACGCGGGCTGCGCTCCGAATCCGAAAGAAGGCGTTGATGATGGCGCCGAGGCTGCTGCACTGCTCGCCGCCGCAGGCGCTGCGCCGAACCCGAAAGACACCGGCGCAGGGCCCGAGGCGGCCCCGGCGGCGGGGGCGCCAAAGCCAAACGCCGGGGCGGAGGCCGCTGCTGTGGCGCCAGCGGCGGGCGCGCCGAAGCCGAACGCCGGGGCGGAGGCTGCTGCTGTGGCGCCGGCGGCGGGGGCGCCGAAGCCAAATGCGGGCGCGGCGGCGCTGGTCGCGGGCGCCGCCACGCCGAACAGGGAAGGGGCAGACGCGGCGGCTGACGAGGCGGCTGCGGTGGCGGGCGTCCCGAATAGGGAGGGCGCAGAGGAGGCTGCTGATGCTGCAGCCAGGGGGCGATGCAGGGGGTGGGTGGCGTTGTGGGTGGGTGGATGGCTGCCGTGTGCGCTTGTGTGTGCAATCAAAAGCTGTGCGATTTCTGGGGACGATTGAGTTCTGAGCACCGCTGCACGTGCTGGCGTATCACTGTATGCACGACGGCACACACATGTGCACATGCACGCGCGCACACACACACACACACACACACACACATACACACACACAACCACACACGAACGAGCGTCTGAAGAACGCCAGGGACCCAAAGATTTCACAATGAGTCATCCGCCCTCAAGACCGCCCAATCCCACCTGCGCTTCCAAAGTTGAAGCCCCCGCCGCTCGCGCCGGCCCCAAACCCAAACGCCGGCGCCGAGCCCGCGGCAGGCGCCGCGCCAAACGCCGGCGTGCTTGCGCCTGGTGTGCGCGCGCACGTTTGGAGTGAGACGTGAGAATGTGCGGTGTGACAATCCGCTTCAAAGCCAACATTTTGTGCTGTAAGCAGCATGCTGCATGAGCACACGCGAGTGGACCAGCCATGCGGACTATCACTGAGGTGCGAGCTATGCTGCAGCGACACCGCTTGATGGCAAGGGGAAAGGGGGCCTACTGTAGTCGCACCGCCGCGAAAGCTTGCGCCCTGCGCCCTGAGAATCCATCGCACCTGCTGCGGCGCTACTTGCGCCAAAGCCAAAGCTGGGTGTGCTGGCTCCGAAGGCAAACCCGCCGCCGGTGGACGCGCCTGCATATCGGCATGTGCGAGAGTGCGGCGATCGCCAGTCGGCCACTGTTCGCCAGCGAGCAATCCCGCCTGAACTCTCCTCGCTCATCAAGCTTAATCTGCGTACCTCCTGCTGGCGCAGCCCCAAAGTTGAACGGCGACGAGGCCATCAGATCAGATCAATATGTCCTGATCTGCCGCCGTTGTGTGAATTGCATGTGCGACACGAAGGAAGGCAATGCTTGTTGTAAAAAGCCGCGCAAGGCACGAGCGTCCTGCTGCACATGTTTCGTGCGCCTGCGTGTTGTGCAGGTGTTGCGCCCACTCGAGTTGCCGCCGCGACAGCTTGCGCTGCTTCACTGCCTTTCAGCCGTCCCCGATGGCCACCAGGTACCCCGACTAAACTATGGCCACATATAGGTGATGTTCCAGATTGCGGCATCAGCAGCACGTCCATATTGTAGCATCCACCACTTATCCACTCCTCGCCGTCTCCTGCCATTGAGCCATGTGGCCACCAACCGGGGTCACGTTGGGCCACGACTTTGCGGACTGGACTTGTGCGCAGAAGCCCAGTGAAGTATATCACATAATCCACAGGACATGAACCCTAGACCCGTGAGACCCTTGAGCTACGCTGCACCCCAGGCTCTCAATCCCCGCTCCCCCCCCCCCGGGCGAGAGCTCAAGCCCCGCCCAGGGCTCATCAACCGCGGCAGGCCCGCGCCCCCGCGGCATCGAGGGTGTTACAAGGCAGTTTTTGGAACAGCGCCGCGCCCGCCGCTTGCGGCGCATGCGCGCCGGGCTGCGCGGGCGGCACCTTACAAAGCCCCCTCCGGTTTGCTGGGCTGTTCATGACCAAGTGGGTTGCACATGTCAAACGAGTGCAACGCAGAGCAGAGGCGCCGCGGCGACAATCGTCGGTCAATCGCCGCCCGACGAGCAGCCTGGACTGCGCGCGCGGCGCCTCTCTGCCTGCCGGCCGCCGAAGCAGGGTACAATCGTTGACCATGAGCCGGCGCGGCAGACGGGGTCGGCAGTCATCGGCGGGGCGCAGGGCCATATGCCCCAGGCCACAGCTGCTAGAGGGCTGGGCTTGGGATCGCTGCACCAGCCACAGCGACGGCAGGGGGGGCCGGAAAGGGTCACATATGGGACATTGAAAGGGGCTGTCCAAGATACAAAAAAGGTTTGTGGGCGGATGGTGGGCGCCGCCGAGGGGCAAAGGGGTTTTGCAGCCGAGCATACATACATCACAATTCAGAGGGACGAGAGGTCCCGGAAAAGCAATTCGTTTGCACGCGTCCCGTACTTATAAATCCGAATCCAACGCACAACGCAAAGTGAGGGCGTGGAGCAAGCGGTTGCATCGCAGCCCTGTCGCGGGCGCGGCGCGGCGCGCGAACTGGAGTCGCACGCAGCGGCGGCCGGCGCAGGGGCGGGGGTGCACGGGCGTGGCAGCCTGGAAATCAATGGGGAGGCGTGAGCCTGGTAGGAATGCCTTTTCTGAGGTCCTGTCGGGCTGTATCAGCGCCCGCACGCGTGTCAAGCGATACTACGCAATTTATGGATGCAACACTGCGTGGCACCATTCTGCCGAAGGTCTGGCCCCAGCGCGCCGCGGCGGGCGGCGACGGAAGCCGCGCGGCGCCGTTTTCGAGGCGCCTCTGTGTACGCTGTGCCCGCCTCTGGAGGTTGGCGGGGTGGCGGCGGGGCCGGACTGCCCGAGGCGGCGCCGCGGATGCAGGCAGGTAGCGGATGCATTGCACACGGTGGTAGCCCTCTGCTATCATGTGTTGGAGCGCAGACGCAGCTCCTTTGTCGCTCCAAAACGTCACTGCGGCGGCCTGGGAAAGCGGGGGGCGCCTGATGTCATAGCACGCCGTGATGACGTCATCATGAGTCGTCGCCCCCCATAAAGCCGTCGGGAAGCTGCAGGTCCAGGTCTTGCAGGCCCCTCAGCTGGCTGTGGCTCGTCCGCGGCTTGGGGCCGCTGCTGCTCGATGCCGGCTCGCAGCCGCTGGCGCCCATGAACGTCGTAGGCCCCGCGACGGGCGGCCCCGAGGGCGTCGCGGGTGCGCCGGCAGCCTTGGGGGAAAGCTCAAAGGCTGCCGCCCACGGGTCGAGGGCCGAGCGCGGCGGCGAGAAGGGCGGCAAGGCGCCGCTGCGCATGTGGGATTGCGCCGGGGACGGCGGCAGCGGCAGCGCGGCGGTGGGAGGCGAGGGGGTGGTCTGCGGGAGGGACGACCACCCCAGCTCTTCGTTCGCCTGCAGGAGAGGTGCAAAAGGAGGAGGGGAATTAGAAGTCAAAGAGGCGGGGGGCCGGGCGGAGGGCAGAGGGCAGGGGGTCGGAGGCGGTCGTTCGGGGAAGGCACGCCAGGAGGTGGCCCGCCCGGCGCGCACAGAACCCAGGTAGTCCCGGCTTGGGGAGGGAGGGAGAGGTGCAGCCCGCCGGTGCCCACCATGCAGAGGAGTTCCTCCAGGTCGTCCGCCATGCGCCGGCTCTCCGCCTCCGCGCGCCCCGCGGCCCCGCTGAGCGGCGCCGCCGCAGCGAACGTGTCTGGCGCGCCGTGCGCGAGCCCGGCGAGCGCGAGCAGCTGCAGCTGCAGCTCCTCGGCGTTGGCGGCAGACCCGTGCGCCGCTGCCGCCGCCGCCTCCTGCGCCGCCCAGCCGCCGAGGCCGCCGCCAGCAGCGGCCGAGGGCGACAGCAGGATCCCTGAAGACAGGTCGAATCGGGCCGCGGCCGGCGCCAGCGGCGAGCTGGGCAGCTGCTGCAGCGGCAGCTGCGCGCCGAGCAGCTGCACTTGGAACGCCTGGCTCGCTGCCTGGCTCGCCGGGAGCGGCCCGCTCGGGGAAAGGCATGCGGGAGAGGTGGGGCTGGCGGCTGCCTGCTGCTGCTGTGCGGACAGCACGCGCTGCTGCAGCATCACCAGCTGCTGGTGCTGCGGCGTCAGCGCCGCCCAAGAACCCGGCGGCAGCCCGCCCGCAGGCGTGTGAACCTGCTGCTGCACCGACTTCTGCTGCTGCTGCTGCTGCTGCTGCTGCTGCTGCTGGCGCGGCAGCAATACGCTGGGCGGGCCCTTTGCCCGCATCGCATGCTGGTGCTGCCTGTGCTTTGCAAGCAGCTCAAGAAGCTCAGGGGGCGGCTGCAGCTGCGGCTGCTGTGCGGCCGATTGTGCGCCGTGCGGGGAGAGAGGGCCACTTGCGCCGTAGGGCTGCTGCGCAGACATGGGGGACAGCTGCGGCGGCTGCGGCAGTTGCTGCTGCCGCTGTATGGCGAGGATGCGCTGAAGTTGCTGCTGCTGCTGAAGCTGCTGAAGCTGCTGCTGCTGCTGCTGCTGCTGCTGCTGCTGCTGGTACTGGCGCTGCAACAGCATCTGATGGTGCTGCTGCTGCTGCTGCTGCTGCTGCATCAGCATTTGCTGCGCCTGCGCATGCTGCAGCGCCTCCTCCTGCGCCTGCGTCTGCTGCAGCGCCTCCGCCTGGGCCAAGACCTGCTGCTGGCGCCGCAGCAGCAATAGTAGCTGCTCGAGCCCCGCGGGCGCGCCGCCCGGTGAGCCGCTCGCAGGCCCCTCCTGCTCCACCACCGTCTGCTGCTGCTGCTGGTGGTGCTGGTGCTGCACCCCCCGCGTCAGCGCCTGAGCCAGCGCCGCCCCGAGATCATCGCCGCCGGCCCGATGGCTCACGCTGCTGCTGAGGCTCACGCTGCCGCTCGCCGCCCCGCCGCTTCCGCCGCTGCTGCCGCCGCTACTGCTGCGGTTGAAGGCGCGCGGCCCCGCGGGCGCCTGCTGTGCAGCTTCGGGCGCCGAAGAGGGCCCGGGACCGTCCGCCGGGCCGCAGCCGCCAGGCCCCCTTAGTGCTGCCGCTTGCTGCTGCTGCTGCTGCTGCTGCTGCTCCTGGTGCTGCTGCTGCTGCGCAGCGGCGGCGGCCATTATCAAGCAGTCGCTCCCAAGCCGATCGGATAGCGACCGCAGCACCATGACCGGCTGCTCCCCTGGCTCGCTGCAGCGCCGCAGTGCTGCCGCCGGCGCGCTGCCCAGGCTCCCGAGCTCGTCCCGCGACGCCGCGTGCCGCGCGGCGGCCGCCGGCAGGCGGCCGGCGGCGCCGGCGGGGACAATGGGGCTCGCTGGCGGATGGGGCAACGGGCTGGGCGGCCATTCGGGGGCCGCCACGGGCGCCGCGGGCACGCCGCGGTATGACTGGTCGCGCGCCGGCCCAAGGGGCGCGTCCGCGCAGCCGTCGTCGCCGTCCCCGGGCCACGCCTCTTGTCCCGCCGCCGCTGCCGCCGCCGCTGCAGCATCTGCTTTTGGCGCGCCCTCCGGCGGCGCCTCTCCGTCAGGCGCAGCGGCACATTCCTCTCCAAAGCCGCCGACAGAGCTGCGCCCGGGGCAGGCCGCGACCTTGTCCGCCGCCCCTGCGCGCGACGCATCCTTCATCGTCGCGGCGTCAGGAGCCTCGTCCGCGGCGCCGCCGCTGGATTGCAGGTACAGCCGGGCCGCCTCCGCCATGGTGGCGCTCGCCTGGCGACGCAGCGATTCCTTGAGAAGGGATGGGACCCGAGACGGCCCCGGCGGCCCCTCCGCGCCGCCCGCGGCCGCAGGGCGGCTGGTGCCAAGAGGCTTGCCCGGCTCCGCCGGCGCCGCGCCGGCCGCGCCTCCGCCGTTGGTGATGCTGCCGCTCGCGGCCTCGCCGCACTGCAGCGCGTCCGCGGCCCGCGGAGGCGGCGCGCCGGCGCCGCCAGCACGGCGCCCGGGCGGCTGCGCGGGCTGCGGCGCGGGCGCCTTGGCCGCGCGTGTGCCGCCGCTGCCGCTTGAGCTAATGTGCCCCCGCTGCGAGGGCGCTGCTGTGTCGACCCCCGCGGCAGTCGCAGCAGAAGGGCCGCCACCCGGCGCGTCTGGCAGGCTCGGGGCCGATCGCCCGGGTTGGCCACCGCCACTGGCATGCTTGGGCGCAGCGGGCCGCGCCCGCGGCTGCGGCTGCTGCTGCGACTCCTCCTCCTGCTGCTGCAGCGACCCCTGCTCCTGCTCCTGAATCATCAACTCGGCCGCAGCCCCGCTCAGGGCCAAAGCCGGCGACCGCGGCGCCGCGGCGCCGCCGCCTGCGCCGCCGCTGCAAGCGCCGCCGCCGGGCGTCTTGGCCTTTGCGAGCAGCGCCCGCACCAGCCCGCCTTCCACGTAGCCCCCTTCCGATGACGTCATCTTGTCTATGGTCCCGGGGGACGCCGGCGCTAGGGCGCCGTTTTTGTCGGGTGGGGCCAAGGGTTCGCAGCCAGCCGCCGCGGACGATTCTTGCGGCGGCGGCGGCGGCGGCGGCAGGATCGGGGAGGAGGGGTCGCTCTTTGGCAGCTGGACGGCGGGCACGACAAACCCGGCCCGCGGCGCCGGCGCCGGCGGGCCGGGCTCGCGGCCGCCCTGCGGCCGCGCGGGCGGCGGCGGCGGCCGCTGCTGCTGCTGCTGCTGCTGCGCGGGACGTGGCGCGGCCTGCGGGCGGCTGGCTGCAGAGTCGGGTGCGTGCTGGGCGGGGCCTGCAGCGGCCGCGGAAGCCAGGGGTGCGGCCGGCAGGGGGGCCGCCGCCGGCAGCTGCTTGTTGCTGCGACTGGGGGTGACCCCGCCCGGGCTCGGCTGCCCCTGTCGCCGGCGCCGCTCGCCGCCGCTCGGTGGCTGAGTGCCGCCGCCGCCGGCGGTGGTCGGCCCCTGGGG